AAAGTTTTTAATAAGAAAACCATATGGATAGAAAATAGATTGACTAAATCTATCTTGATGATTGCTAGGAGTCAAAAGCAATTTGATGGCACATAATCGATCTTGTACAAGTTCCATTTAAAAGAAACATCAGATGGGAGAATATATTTTTACCCATCAACAGCTGGTTCCTTGATAGCAGACTAAAGGGGCATTCAGATCCTGTGGTTGCAACCTTCCCCTATGATGGGTTGCATTGTATTTCCATTAATATTAATTATTTTGATTGATTGATTTAATCCATATAGATGCGGATGTGACTCTGAGAAGCTAACATGTTAAAAGCACTAATAATAAAGGAAACCAATATCAACAAAAACTTTGATAAACTAATAAATTGATAAACTGAGGTCTTGCTAAAATGGCCATAGATGATATATCTAATCAAAACAATTTAAAAAAAGCCCCTCCATGGGCCATTTAGGCTCATATAATTCCTACATGTGCATCAGTACATGAATGAATTCTTATATGCAATTAGAAGGAAAACTGTGATTTTTAACTTTTGGGATGCATTTCCACCTTTGGGGTGATCAAAGAAGCCACCTAGTGGTATAGAAAAATGAAAATATGTCAGTTCTGAAGGAGCTACTTCTGAGCCCTGCAGTAGATCTAGAAACATGTGTTTCAGGGGTGAAATGCTCCTGGTTCGGACCGGATCAGGCGATCCGGTAGCGATTGTGGCTGGTGTTTCGGAGAACTGGTAGCGATGGCGACGCCCACCCGTCCGGGTGTCGTTACTTCCTGGTTTTAACCAGGAAGTAATGTGTTTTTTACCCTCTGTGCATGCACAGAAGATTTTGCACATGCTCAGAGGGTTTGCGCGCGCATGTGATGCACACGCGCTTCTGAACCAGTAAGGAAGGTGTTGTGTAAGTAGATTTCACCCCTGATGTGTTTATATAATGTATGGGCATATATGTATATGCGAATTTAATAACTGAATAGCACTTCTTTTGGGGAGGCAGGATGTAAAATGTGATTATTTTGAAATTCCTTAGAGATATTTATTCGTCAAGCTGGACAGTAACTATAGAAGTCTCCTACGCTCTTATTTTATTTCTTGACATCTAAATCCCCTGGCATTTAAGAAGGGATCAAACACAGGCGATTTCTTAAGCAATTCCACCCAGCACTTTCAGATTCAGATAAAAGGTTTTTGAATTATTCTGTGGTCTATATATTTTTAATGAGCCAAATTTAATCACTGTTGACAGCTGAAGATTTATTTTATTTGTATCCCCATAGGGTGCAAAAAGGAATCCCATATTTCAAGTGCTTTCACTTGTGTCCTGGGCAATCGGTGAACTTTAATATATGTTGAATTCATTCATTTATTGATTTGTTAAAAACTAATTTTGAGGCTGCTTGGAGCTTTTAACAGATGAGCTGTAGAAATGAATAATCATCATGCTTTATCTACATATTAAAGGAAAGAAACTCAGAAAGGAACTTCCCTAACTTATCAGGTTGTAAAAGAGGTGGCAGGAGATATGTACTATTAGACGTACAGGTTTCTGTTTGTTGGAAGGACTGGTTCAAAGCTGGGAGAAAGACTCTGGACATAAAATGGAGGCAGGCTGCAGGAAAGGAAATCTCTGCTTATTTGGTAGCCAGTGACAGCAGCATGTTTCTGGGTGGTTGACAAAAAGGGGTTGTCAGTAGATGGGTTTTTATGCATTCTTTGGAGCTTTGTGATTGAGATGCCTGTTCCTGTGTAAGAATGCATCCTTCAATATTTTAATGGCTCTTGCCAGATTCCTATGGGGTCATAGCTGGCTCTACAGGCAAAAGGGGAAATGCAAATTTTAGGTGTTTGTCTGAGCTAATCTTGTCAGCCTTGGCTTGCCTAATTGTGTTGCTTATTTGGAGTCTCTTTGCTTATGAATAGATTGGCCCAGTCTTTCTGAATGGATACAAAATCTCCATTCCTAAAGACCAGCCTATACAAGCTTCTGCTTGAGGCTATTTTCCTTTGGCAGGAAGACTGGGGCTGCTTTCCACCTTTGTTAAGATTTTCTCCATTTGTCCTTTAGAGGAAATATTCTATCCTGCCTCTTTTTAATATTAAGAATAAATAATATTTTAATCTGGGGAGGGGCGGCCTTCCTACATGTTAATATGGCTTACAATAAAGCTCTTTTGATTGTGTTTCCTGCTTGGTCTTCCCAGGAAGACTGACAAGAGATTAAGTCACTGAAATAGAGCAGGGAGACCTGAACGTTAGCCCTGCCTTAGGCACTGAAGTCAACTGAGTTACTTGGAGCTAGTCACTTTCTCCAAACTCTAGGAAAAAGACATGGCAAACAACTGCCAAAGGTATTGATTGCAGAAAACTGGAGGGATTTGTCCAGGAGTCAAGAGTGACACAAAAGCAGAGAGAGAAAGACAGAGAGAGAGGGGGGGAGGGGGGGAGGGAGGGAGAGAGAGAGAGAGAGAGAGAGAGAGAGAGAGAGAGAGAGAGAGAGAAATGTATTTGCTAAAATAAATGTATATCATCACACTAACATGAAAGATATCTGTGAGAACTTAATATATCTGTTACGTCTCAAGCTTTTGTGGTTTACAGTTTATTTAATTGTATGCATGGTGTAACAATTTGGAAAAGGTTATGAGAATAGGGGGATTGGAATGGCAAAGTGTGATGCCAAAGAAAAACAAAATGTAGGAAGTGGAGAGGAAATAATTAGTGCAAAATAATAGCCATTTATGAAACAGATGTTGGATGTAATTTTCATCTAGAGCGTAGTTTAGAAGGAGTCATTTCGTAGTCATTTATTTGAATAAAATCTGTGGCCAGTCCAAGTTTATATTACAGCAGGTTATTATAGGTTCTTAACATTATTTTAGAACATTTCATTTTGTAATAGTAATGTGTGTGTGTGGTTGATGCTTATTTCTTTTGGCTATAGGGATTAAGGCTGCCTGATTACCAGGCTAAAGAAGGTTATGAAAGGTAGGCTGCTAAATTGATGTTTAAAGAACAAGGGAACAATTTTTCCCACACTTTTCCTGTAGGTTTTTCCCACCCCACCAGTCTACAGAAATTATGCTAATGTTTCACCATGGACACAGGCAAAGAGAAAATCTAAATGCCTGTTTTTACCTCATTAAAACAAATTAAGTAGAAGCTGTACTTAATTTATTAAAATGAGTGAAATGAATGTATGTTCCAGTACGCTGACAACCAATAGAAATAACGTTGGATTGATTACTTCATAAAAAATCAACTGTGTGCCCTTTGTTGTTGTTGCAATTTCTGAAAAGACCCATGAAGCCTCTCTGTCCTCAGCACTATGGATTTGTAGCCAAGTATCAGAGGGATACTATATTTGTGCGGTCTGTCTCCAACTCCCTCTTCCTGGAAGCACAAATGGTTCTTCTGGTTCTAGAGCACAACTTTCAAGTTTTGATCATGTGGCCTTCTGTGAAATTTCAAGCCATTTATTTATTTATTTATTTATTTATTTATTTATTTATTTATTTATTTATTTATTTATTTATTATATTTCTATACCGCCTTTCTCCCGTAGGACTCAAGGCGGTGTACAGTCAAGAAAAATATAGACACACAAACATCATAAAATTGCTAATTAAAATTGTTACTTAGTTTGATCAATTAAATAAAACCCAGAATTAGATAACATTTAAAAAATCATTCGCACGTTTGTATGCTTAGCCCTGCCTGTTGGAACATCAGGGTCTTGAGGGCACGGCGGAAAGCACGGAGATCAGGGATATTCCGTATCTCCGGGGGCAGTTCATTCCAAAGGGTTGGAGCCCCCACAGAGAAGGCCCTCCCCCTGGGAGTCGCCAGTCAACATAATTTGACTGACGGTACCCTGAGTAGTCCCTCCCTGTGAGAACGAACTGGTCGGAGGAGATGCAGGAGATCAATTAAGTTCTCTATAAGGGGCCTCTGGTCTCTTTCCTGAAGCTGCTATTTGGAAAAGAAAGAGGAAATTATATTATTTTAGGAAATAAGGGTTGCTGAAAGAAATGCCCACCCCCTTTTACCTCAGCCTTGATGCATTACCCTCCCCCATAATAGATTATCCTTGAGAAAATGTGGCCCTCAACAGAAAACAACAACTCTGCCTTCTCCCATCTCTAAAATGTTCTCTAAACTCCAATATACAGTAAGTTCGTCTGATTTTTGAACATCTGTTAAGTAGCTAACTGATTTCCAAAGTGGAATCCGATCTGTTTAGAAGAGAGATCATGTGTTCAAATTATACTCATCATTGACAGTATTGTACATTGATAATGAAGTAGTAGGTTAATCATTAATATTAAAAGAGGGAACTATAGGATGTAAGAAAATGCAAGTGTTAATATGTCACTAAGAGCAACATAAATGTATAGCAATAGCACTTAAACTTATATACCGCTTCACAGTGCTTTAAAGCGCTCTCTAAGCGGTTTACAGAATCAGCATATTGCTCCCAACAACAATCTGGGTCCTCATTTTACCGACCTCGGAAGGATGGAAATCTGACTCAATCTTGAGCTGATGAGAATCGAACTGCCGAACTGCTGGCAACAGGCATTCAGCAGAAGTAGCCTGCAGTACTGCATTCTAACCACTGTGCCACCACGGCACAGATATAAAAGACAGATATATTTTTTCACAAGCAACTTTTATCTAAACAATCTATTCTTTTTAAAGCAGAAGACATTTGCAAAAGTAGTTTTAAATGAAAATCAGGATTCATATACTGTACATGATAGAAATGCTATCAATGCTGTCATAATGATTTTGCTACTCAATCCATTTTGAGCAATAAGATTGCCTAATAAATTCAAAACCCTCTTCCAAGTTTTATTAAAATAGATTATAGATGAAGAAGATTATTCATAATTTCAGAATGAAAATCTATTACTTGGTGCAAAGAACTTTTTTTTGATAAAGTAAATATGAAAATATATGTAAGATCTATTTTTTTAAACTACTTATCTAGGTCATGGAAAGTGTGATTGTGGAAAGTGTAAATGTGAAGAAGGTTGGTATGGTGATGCTTGTCAATACCCAACTATCTGCAATTTTACACGGAGGAAGAGTAATGAAATGTGCAAGAATTCTCAAGACATCATTTGTTCAAATGCAGGTGAGATTTTTATTTTAATGGGCTGATAAATTACTTTGGTGAAGTAGTTTTTAATCAATCATACAATGAAGGATGAATTAAATCAACCTATTATGTCTACTAGTAGGATGTTTTTATGCCTTATTAATGACATACATTATATAACATTCTGAAAAAAACATAGGCCATGAAATCAAACATTCTTTTCAATTATAATCATATGTGGTGGAAATGCGCTGAAGCAAAAAAAATATTGGAATAAAATTAAAACCTGGTTGGAAGAAATGACACAAATATTGAATTTAAACCAGAGTTGTATTTATTGGGTATCCTACCTGACAAAATTAAAAATGAATATATTTATTTGATTATACATGTAATAACAGCTGCAAGAATTGTTTATGCACAAAATTGGAAATTAGAGAAAATACCTTTGGAAGATGAAGTAATAAGAAAGATTTTAGATTGCGCTGAAATGATTCAATTAACTTTACTTGATTAAAAATAGGGAAGAATCAGAATATTTTAAAATATGGAATTATTTTTACTGTTAGTTGCAAAAGAAATATAAATGATTAATTGTATAAATACATATAAAAAACCTGATAGTAAGAATATGATTATAGTAATCAATTCGTACAGTGGTTTGAAGATGACTGAGACAGAAGAAACTGCTGGTACAAGAAGAATAAAATGAACTGAAGAATTTAATCACCGAGACATCACAGAGGAGAGCTGATTGATGTTTTAAATGTTTTTTTTAAAAAAAATAATAAAAAACTTTATGTAAAAAAAAATTCTTTTCAATGATAAACTGAATAGTAAACTGTAGTCCTAATGCCAATACTGTGTTTCTGATGTTTACAGGTACTTGTCACTGTGGCAGATGTAAATGTGACAATTCAGAAGGAAGTGGATTGATCCATGGTAAATACTGTGAGTGTGATGACGGAGAATGCATAGATGAAGAAACAGGGCTGATGTGTACAGGTGAGTATATTTAAAGCTATGCTAATCACAGCAAACATTCTTCAGATAATCATGCTGTATCATTGAGGACAATTTTTGCAGGAAACGGTTCTGCTCCAACTTGTGCTGAATACACCAATTTGGCTGGGGCTTAATCACAGCTGTCCTTAGAGATAATTTGGGGACTGAGGCAAGGAATATTGCAGTTACTAGCCATCATTTCCTTTCAGAGAAAGGTAATAGCTTCCCACCACCACCACCCACCTTTTTCTTTGAAGAATTTCTGCACCCAGAGAAACTTGGTAACAGTTAGCTGTAGTTGTGAAAATGAGGAATAAAATTGAGAAAAGTATAGCCTTGTAATATTCACAATAAACAGGCAATAAAAGGAGGGCAGTGTTTTTGCAGATCTGCATGAATGTTCACTGCTGAAGCAGAGGATTCAGCAGTGAATCCTTTGAAGATTACTCTGTAGCACTTTGGACTGGAAGGCAAGGAGCTTCAGAACATGAACATGGCCAAATACTATCTGCAATTTCTTAAATTAAACACACCTCCCCCCCCTCGAATTACTACTATCTTTTGCCTTTGAATCTGATGTGTGACTTAGGGCATTCCACCTCATATCATCAAGGAAAAGAGCAGGACAAGTGGCCAACTGATCCAGCAGCAAAGAAAAGAGTATTGTGTGTATACGTTTTCAGAGGTGGTTGGAAGGCATGGTCATCTCCAAAGTGGTAGCCACAGCCTTGTGATCCAAGCTACAACCCTTTTGAATTCTTATGATGTTGATGATGGAGGTGATGCGCAGACAAAGGAAATGGAACTGGATTGCAACCTTGTACCTACAATTTGCAGAGTTTGAGACCCTCTGCAGATACAGTTGTATACTTTACTCCAAACTGGGCACTGGGACTTAATTTGGAACAGTCTATGCGTACCATAAGTCTCTCTTTTCCACTTCATATCATGACAATGTAAACCCTTGGTCCTTTCCTTATGACCATGTTTAGCTGTCATCAAATCAACAAAAAGCTGCATCAGAATAGACCATTCCTCTATATTAGCCTGACTCAATCCACCTATTACAGGATAACAGGAGGATAATTATCCCACAAGCTTTAATTATTAGAGATACCCAAGACAGCGAGATAGCATTGAAGTGGCAGTTTGCATAACCTTCTGAAAATTTAGCATTATATTTAGCGCACTCTATTATCTAACTGAAGTTTTAATTGAAAGTTTCATTTATCATCAAATCTTCTGAGGCCAGAAGTTGCCCTTTCTTTTTGAGACATAAATATTTACTTCTGAGATGAGGTCACTGATGGCCTGTAAGAAGAAAAAACATCATTTTACTTCTGAGAAGACAGTTGGAAAGTATGCCACCAGAAGAAAATTGAGCCGCTCATGGCTACTAGGAAAGAATACTTCTTTCCTTTACTTCTTCCCTTTCCAAATTGCAATTCCATTGAAAAAAAAATGCTAATTGAAATAACCCAAATTGACATCCTTTTCACAGAATATAACAGAGTGGTCATCCCATTTTCAAGTATCTGCCCAACTCAATATCTTTTTTCTACAAGAGACTTGGATAGATGGTTATCACATCTTTCAATATAATGCATCTCAGTGTATAAGTGGGTAACATCCTAAAGGTGGCATAGCAATTTTGATTAGTACAGAATTGGAAGCAAAAGGTGTCTCTTTTCCAACCTGAGAGCCAGTTTTGAAAGATATGTAACCAACACCATTACACTTTGCCTAAACTAGAGGTTATGACCTTAAGATGGATCACCAGGCTAAAGATCCACATCTTCCTCAATTGCATATTACTTCTTCTACTGGTAGAGGAATTACATGCTGCAGCTTCTTCAAGTTGGAGCAGTGCTATAGAATTCATTAGCATACTTTGGTCTTTCAGATGTTGGCAACCCTTTGAGGTAGCCAGATCGGGAAACAGATACCACAAGGATTATCAGGAATGTTACTTATTGCCATAAAGGATAATAACAGAATCTTGAAAGCTTGTCAAGCTTTCTCATACCAAACAGAATCAATGTAGGACTATTTTGAGTTTCTTTATCATGCTTTCCATTTTTCCAGAATTGACACCAATTGTTATGGTTATATTGATATAGGGCAGTGATGGCGAACCTTTTCGGCACTGAGTGCTGAAAAGGGAGCGCATGTGTGCTTGTCTGGGCTGCAACCTGGAAGAGGAGCTGGTTCCTGGTTTCTGGGGCATTTGCGTGCACTACAATCAGCTGGCCTTCGTGCATGTGGCAGTGCCGGAAAGTGGAAGAGCTGGTCTTTCGTTTTCCTGCATGTGCATGCGCACCAGCCAGGTGATCATTGCGCACACGTGTGCATCAGAAACTCTGGAAGAGGAACAGGTGATGCTGTGCATTGCGGGCGACATGACTCCGTGTGCCACTTTCGGCACATGTGCCATAGGTTCGCCATCACGGATATAAGGTATAATGTAAATTTGTTTCAGATTTTTATCATTTCCAGGTATTAAGTAATTAAACCTATTAAAACTTGGTGTCATAAAGTCATAAAAAGAGCCTTGGTAGTGCAGTGGTCTAAAGCACCCTGTTATTAAGAACAGCTGCCTGCAATTACTGCAAGTTCGAATCTCACCAGGCTCAAGGTTGACTCAGCCTTCCATCCTTTCTAAGGTAGGTAAATTGAGGACCCAGTTGTGGGGGCAATAAGCTGACTTTGTATAAAATATACAAAAAGGATGAAGGCTACTGCTTAACGCATTGTAAGCCGCCCTGAGTCTCCGGAGAAGGGCAGCATATAAATCAAATTAAAAAAAAAAATATGCAGGGTAATCATATATATAAAAATCTAGAAATAACTTCCCTTGGATCAATGAGTAAAGGAACTTATACAAGGTGGCAGCACCAATCAGAATTTGGGATTTTTTTTTAAAAAAAGCAGGACTGAACTTAATTAGTATTTGGATAGGAGTCCACCAGAAATATCAGCCCTGCAATCTAGATTGAGAAATCCCAAACAGATTCTGAAGAAGAGTATTAAGCTGTTGTGTTGTGGTACTCCCTCAGGTTAGTAAACACTGAGCTTAATTCAAAAGAGATTTTAGATACAAGATTGTAGTCATTACTCTGGCATAGCTCTCCCTATGGTTCCATCAATATAGGAATGATTCTACACTTGAATAACATTTTTCTTCTTCTAGTAGGGTTTTCTTTTTCTTCCATATCAACCAAATATTGATCTATTGGTTGCAATAAGAATTGACCAACCAACTTGTTGCTTGAACCTGATGTTGGGGGTTGAGACAAAGCAACAAGTCCAAGTCACCCAGCCAGCATTCATACCTAAAGTGGGATTAGAACTCACAGATTCCTGGTTTCTAGCCTGGAGCCTTAAACCCTGGACCTCACTAGCTCTCAAAACTCAAATATAATTGATGTTCATAAATATTGTATAATTATGATGAATTTTAAATTTAAAAATCCATATTATGCATATGAAAGGCTAGACATGTTTAAAAGAATCTGATTTTTTAAAACTAAAACCTACTGCTCAGTCTAATCTAGAATAATTCCCCAAATGGAGGGCATTGGTAAAAAATGGAGACATCATAAGTAGTAAAGAGCACAAAAATGAAGACTATGTAAGGAAAAATGTAAATGTTCCCAAACATGCAAAGTTGTGATTTGATATACAAGAACCATAATTGTTCTAAACTCAACAGAGCTTCTTCTTAACATAGAGTAAAACGAAAGAACGAAAGCAGAAGAAAGCTGTGAGCTATGTACCATTTATTAAACATATTGGGTTAGATCTGATGCCAGCAATGGAATCTTAGTAATTGTCAAAATTACACTGCTGTAAAGGAAGAATTCACTGTGATTTAATGTCAATAAAAAAAAGAAAAAAAGGGTATATTTAATAATGGCAATACCTTGTTATTAGGTATTGATAACTTCTGTAAATATCTATAATATGCCCATCCTGACAGTTCAACTCATATAAACCAAAAGTTCTGATTAAATACAGGTTGACACTTCACCCTTTCAGAACAAAATGTGTCACATTCATAAATTCACATGAAATCAAACAGGTTCTTCAGAAGGCCAGAAAATGCCAGCTTTTGATGGGTCTTGACAGAGATTAAACACTCGACCTCACTGGCTCTCAAAACTCAAATATAATTGATGTTCATAAATATTTTGTGATTATGATGTTTATGATTATGCTATTTTATGATTTATGATTTTTATGATGATGGTTTTTGAGAAAAACCTGACACCCGTTAGACAAATTTTCATAACACCCATTGATCAGACATCTAAGCTTAAAACTTTAAGTTTTCAAAAAAGGAACTGAATAATGTATGTTTCTGGAAGGAAGTCTTCACTGTCAACATTATGTTTTGGGATAAGGCCATGGCATGTGTTACTGTGGAAACTGTTACTGCGAGGCTGGTTGGCATGGCGATAAATGTGAACTCCAATGTGACATCGCCCCCTGGGAGATCAAGAAGAAGTGTACCTCTCCAAATGGCAAAATCTGCAGCAACAGAGGTTTGTTGTTCACCTTGTTATCATCTAAGTTAACTTTTTTCCCTACCTTTGGCACTTTTCCAAAATTACAGGACTTAGGGGAAACTCAGTTGATTTGTTACTACAAAAAGAGGGATAGATATTACTAACCATGAGCCAATGCCAATTTATGTTTTATTTGTCCCCCAGTGTATTAATGTATTTATTTATTATTTATTTATTTATTTATTATATTTCTATACCGCCTTTCTCCCGTAGGACTCAAGGCGGTGTACAGTCAAGAAAAATATAGACACACAAACATCATAAAATTGCTAATTAAAATTATTACTTAGTTTGGTCAATTAAATAAAACCCAGAATTAGATAACATTTTAAAAAATCATTCACATGTTCATATGGTTAGCCCCGCCTGTTGGAACATCAGGGTCTTGAGGGCACGGCGGAAAGCACGGAGATCAGGGATATTCCATATCTCCGGGGGCAGTTCATTCCAAAGGGTTGGAGCCCTCACAGAGAAGGCCCTCCCCCTGGGAGTTGCCAGTCGGCATAATTTGGCTGACGGTACCCTGAGTAGTCCCTCCCTGTGAGAACGAACTGGTCGGTGGGAGGCTTTTGGTGGCAAAAGATGGTCTCATAGGTACCCAGGTCCTAAGCCATATTGAAATATGGCCAAAAAAAAAAAAAAAAAAAAAATCTGGGGCAGGAAGGGAGCACCATGGAGAAATGCTGATCAACATAGCTGAACAATATCTAAAGCACCCTATGTTCCTCATAAACCAATCACCTGTAATTTATGATGAGTGTGCACAGAGACCAGTGGTGAAATCCAATTTTTTTAACTACCAGTTCTGTGAGTGTGGCTTGGTAGGCATGGTGCGGCTTGGTGGGCGTGGCAGGGGAAGGATACTGCAAAATCCCCATTCCCACCCCACTCTGGGGCCAACCAGAGGTGGTATTTGCTGGTTCTCCAAACTACTTAAAATTTCGCCACCGGTTCTCCGAACTGCTCAAAATTTCCGCTACCGTTTCTCCAGAACGTGTCAGAACCTGCTGGATTTCACCCCTGACAGAGATCCATACACATACATATTTTCCTTTATGGTGTTCATGCATAAGACCTGGTCTTTGGGTAGGGTACCAGGTTGGGGAAGGAAAGCTGCTGAAAAATTACGAAGTAGGAGTCAGCCAAAACTATTCTCCAAAGCACCTGAAGGCAGGACAAGAAGCAATGGATGGAAACTAATCAAGGAGAAAAGCAACCTAGAACAAAGGAGAAATTACCTTACACTTAGAACAATTCATCAGTGTAATAACTTGCCTCCAGAAGTTGTGAATGCTCCATCACTGGAAGTTTTTAAGAAGAGAGTGGACAACCATTTGTCTGAAATGGTATACGGTTTCCTGCCTGAGTAGAGGGTTGGACTAGAAGACTCCCAAAGTCCATTCCAACTCTGTTATTCTGAGGAAAGTTAGTCAGATATTGTGAAATCAGTGCGTATGGAACAGCACTGGGTGATGCTGTTTCAGACCTCGGCCTCTTTTGTTTCCATGTTCTTTTTAAATATTTTCACGAAACAGCAAAACTGGATGTCAGTGTAGATATGATATACACACTTGATGGGTCCTTTTTCCAATCATGGAGTAGAAGAGTGCCCAACAACAAAGAGAGTCTAAGCAAGATGAATCTTCAAATAGAGGTGCTAAGCAAAGAAAGGAGAATATAAGAGGCTTCACATTTCCTAGGTGATACGGTAATTGATCTTAATTGAAGATCAATTGTTCTGGGTGCAGTATTGTGTCTAGGTTGTGACATGGTATCATGATCAGGCTTTCTCCTACCTCTACCCTCTATATTACAGGAAACATTTTTATTTTGTGCATAAAGTTAGATCTGTACAATCTCCCTAGCAATGAGATTCTCTGCTGAATACAGTATTGAATAATATTCTTTCTTCTTAGAGAAGCATTGATGGTTTGCTGTGAGTGTGTGTGTATATATGTATGTGTACATCAGTGGTGGGATTAATTTTTTTTTTACCATCTGTTCTGTGGGCGTGGCTTGGTGGGCGTGGGAGGGGAAGGATACTATAGAATCTCCATTCCCTCCCCACTCCAGGGGAAGGTTACTGCAAAATCCACATTTCCTCCCGATCAGCTGGGACTCGGGAGGCAGAGAATAGATGGGGGCGGGGCCAATCAGAGGTGGTATTTACCAGTTCTCCAAACTACTCAAAATTTCTGCTACCAGTTCTCCAGAACCTGCTGAATAACACCTCTGGTGTATATGAGCAGACATATGAATTCTTGCTATCAAGTTGGTAATTTGATGATGCTGTTTAAATATATATCTATCTATCAATCATCTATGAAATTTATTTGCCTGAAATTTAAACTGACTCTGGACTCTTACAGCATAAATATTTAGGTAAGTCTGCTCTAGATCCAACCCACTTTTAAAAAACATACTTTTTAAAGTTTTATTAAAGAGAACTGAAGGCCAATAGGGGATTTTAATATATTGATTGGCTCAAATGTAATGGAGACATTACATTTTATTTTTGATATTTCAACAATGGAGAGGATATGGCTTCTAAATACTGTGAATGTGTAGATAAGTGTTGCTGCCATCCTGAAAAATGGTTCCCAGGATTGTTGATTTCATAACAGAACCAACTCAGAAGACCTTACATGCAGTGGTGGGATTCAGCCAGTTCGCACCACTTCGGGAGAATCGGTTGTTAACTTTCTGAGCAGTTTGGCACACTGGTTGTTGAAAGAAATCATTAGGGCAGGAAACCGGTTGTTAAATTGCCTGAATCCCACCACTGCTTACATGTAATATTTCATTATGAGAGAGTTAGCCTTCATCAGCTTTTGTTCAAAATAAAAATTGTGTCTAAATCTTTTGTATGTACATGTTAATTTCTATCACTAATTTATCATTTCATTTTCATTCAAGTAAGTTTAGTTTGATTGGATGAAAAATATTCATAAATAGATCTACTGTATGTTTCTAAAATGTGAAAATATGTTTGTTTTCACTAAGAAAATATTTAAAATATCAGCTGTTGTTTCTCTGACTGAAGTCCAGATCTATTAGATTAAAGCAAAAGTGCAAATCTCAAAATTCATCTCTTTACTACCTCTTTATTGAGAAAACTCTGCTAAATGAGGAGCATCTAATTATCTTGAGAGCATTTATAAAACCCTCTCGTTTTAATTATATGGCAATTTAAAAGCCCTGGCTAAAATATTGTAAACATACACACACACACTCATATTTCTAGAAACTATGCACTAGATTGTAACATCAGTTTTGTAAATGAATTATTTGTCTATTTGGTGACATGGAACTTTATGATTGATGGAATGTCATGATTTCATTGAAAGTAATACTTTAAAAAATACTTTATATTATTTTATTTTTACTATATTTTATTTTAATTATATATATATTTTTAAAAATATAGTTAACTATATAAGATCAGAAAGTGGGCCAGAAGAAAGGAGTATCATTGGAAGAAATTCCCAAATAGTCAAATGTTTAAGGGATACCGTATGGACTGATTCAAGGATAATTATGGCAGCAGGCAATTATTTCTGTGTATACTTAATCATCTGACATATATCCTGGAGACCCCCATGTTTCTATTTTGAATGGCATTAGTGTGTATTTTGTTCACATGATGACATCCCTGCATTCTTCCCTATGAGTGACGGTGAATTTTTTGATGAGGGTAGGTTGAGTGAAGTTCAGTGGGAGGCTTTGAGCTATTTAATGTCTCTTGGCTCAAGCAACCTCACAATTGATGTGGGGAAACACAAGAGGAAGAAGTACTTCCTCAAGTTCCTGAATGAAAACTATGAATACATGCATTATTGACAACTTATATTCAACTTCTCTTGTTTTCATGCAGTCAGTAGTAATTACTAACATTCATATCTGGTCAAATCAAACATAAATGGATCTAAGCATTCCTAGTTTGCATGCAGCTAGTATTAAGTATGCATCTCAGATCTTGGGTTTCTAAATAGGGATTTTGCGCTCATACAGTACGTTAAAATGGTTGAGTGGCACAAGGCTATTCCAGCCATTTTTTGTTAGAAAAAGCAAATATATTCTAACTGGCATGCTTGATGACTAAAAAGTGCAGCAGTGCAGAAAATAAAATGCCTCTGAAGTCCCAATCTTTCTCAGTGACTGAGAATTCCTATGGCTGGGAAGAATGATAGAATAGAGCCTCTATTTACATGCCATCCATTCCCCAGCTTTATTAATCCAAGAAGTTAAACTCCCTGTAAATTTAGGGTATTACAGAAAACTGTAACAGAAGCGTACAACTTAGAATAGAATAGAATAGAAAAAATGGGGTTAAACAGCATTATCCAGATGACCAATGGCACTCAAAGTGTATCCTTAATGGAACTGCATCTACATGGAGGGAACTATGCAGAGTACCCCAAGGCTCTGTCTTAGACCCAGTACTCATCAATGATTTAGATGAGGGATAGAAGGGGAACTCATCAAATTTGCAGATGTCACCAAGCTGATAGTAATAGTCAAAACTCCAGAAGATAGGTTCATTCATTAGTGACAACAGCAAGGTTCTACATTTAGGCAAGAAAAACCAAATGCACAAATATAGAATAGGTGGTATCTGGCTCAATATTAGTATTTGTGAGACAGATCTTGGCGTCCTAGTGGATAATCACTTAAATATGAGCCAGCAGTATGCTGCAGCTGCAAAAAAAACACAGTCCTAGGCTGCATTAATTGAGGGATAGAATCAAGATCACATTAAATGTTAGTACTACTTTATAATGCCTTGTTAAGACTACACTTGGAATATTGCATCCAGTTTTGATCATCACAATATAAAAAAGATGTTGAGACTGTTAAACTACCGAAGTTCGCAGATAACACAACAGTGATTGGTCTCATTCGAGACAATGATGAATCCGCATACAGACGGGAGGTTGAACAACTAGCCTTATGGTGCAACCGGAACAATCTGGAACTGAACACACTCAAAGCCGTAGAAATGGTGGTAGGCTCTAGGAGAAACCTTTCCATACTTCCACCTCTTACAATACTAGACAACACAGTATCAACAGTAGAGACCTTCACATTTCTAGGTTCTACCATATTGCAAAATTTAAAGTGGACTCCCGGCAAATGTTCCCCGGCACGCCATCAACATGTTGGAAATGCAACCACCACAAAGGCACCTATTACCATATGTGGTGGACCTGCCCAATGGCAAAACAATATTGGCAAAGGATCAAAATACAAATAGAGGAAATAACACACCAAAAGATAGAATTAAGACCAGAAAGCTTCTTATTAGGCATAGTGAATGGATACTATGAAAAAGAAACAACCTATTTAATTATACATATGATAACAGCAGCACGAATACTATACGCACAACACTGGAAGAGTAGTGATATACCAACACCAGATAAAGTAATCAATAAAATTATGGAATGTGTGGAATTAGATAGACTCACAAAGGAATTACAAAATAGGGAAGAACATGACTTTTACATAGTATGGGAAAAGTGGTATAGTTGGTTGAAAGTTAGGAAAGAGATGAAGCAATAGGAAGTAAATAAAATGACCAAATATAATATGATGGAAACAAAGAACAGACATAGGTCAACAAAGATCAATATTAGATAGACAAAAGGGAATGACCAAAAAAGGAAGAGTCAAAATACAAAGAGAAATGTATATTATAGTTGCGACAAACTGGACATGTATTGAAATGGATGTTTATATGTTTTTATGTTTTGTACGTTTCATTGTTCTGTTTAGTTTGTACTTATAAATAAAAATTTGAAAAAAAAAATCTAAAGTGGACTCCTAACATCAAAAATGTCATCAAAAAAGCACAACAAAGAATGTTCTTTCTGCACAAACTCAGAAAGCTCAAGCTACCCAAGGACCTGCTGATATGGTTCTTCAGAGGAATTATTGAGTCTGTCATCTGCACCTCTATAACTTTCTGGTTTGGTTCTGCAACCCAACAAGACAGACACAGACTTCAGAGGATAATTAGAACTGTGGACAAAACAATTGCTACCAGCCTGCCTTGGGGACGTATATGTCAAAAAGAGGGCTGTGAAAATATTTACAGACCCCTCACATCCTGGACATAAACTGCTTCAACTCCTACCCTCAAAACAACACTATAGAGCACTGCACACCTGAACAACTAGACACAAGAACAGTTCTTTCCCAAACGTCATCACTCTGCTAAACAAATAATTCCCTCAATATTGTCAAATTATTTATTAAGTTTGCACTACTATAAATTTTATCATCATTCCCATCACCCATCTCCTTCCACTTATGACTGTATGACTGTAACTTTGTTGCTCGTATCCTTACTATTTATATTGACTATTCCTAATATGATTTGATTGATTATTTGTACCCTATGGCTATCATTAAGTGTTGTACCTTATGATTCTTAATGAGTGCATCTTGTCTTTTTATGTCCACTGAGAGCATATGTACACAAATTCCTTGTGTACAATCACACTTGGCCAATAAAAAATTCTATTCTTCTATTCTAGAAAGAGTGTAGAGAAGAGCTACAAAGATACTTAGAGAATTGGAGGCTAAAACATATAAAGAATGGTTGCAGGAATTAGGATGTCTAGTTTAATGAAAAAAGGTCCGGAGTGGAGTGGGGTGGGGTAGTGAACATGATAGCAGTGTTCCAATATCTAAGGGGCTTCCACAAAGAAGATTGGGTCAGCCTATTCTTCAAAGCATCAGAAAGTAGACCAAGAAGCAATGGATGGAAAATAAGAAGAGAACTAACCTAGAACTAAAGAGAATTTTTCTGACAGTGAGAACAATAAATCAGTGGGATGACTTGCCTCAAGAAGTTGTGGGTGCTCCAACACTGGAGGTTGTTAAGAAGAGGATGGACGACCCTTTATCTGAAATGGTTTAGAGTTTCCTGCCTGAGCAGGGGATTGCACTAGAAAACCTCTAAGGTCCCCTCCAACTCTTTATTTTGTTATTCTGTTAACAACATTTTGTGTAAAAGGCTTTTCTTTGATAATGGCAGGAATAGAAAGACATGCTGTTTGAGGACCAGATGGGAGGAGTGTTAGTGGCTCTGATGCAGTATGCATACCCAAAACTCTCTAGGGCTGTTTGCACAACATAGCAACCCATGTGGCTTAGATATAAGGATATACACTTCTCCAATTGCTCCTCTCTCTGAGCTGCACAGCATGGACACAGTAGTCCCCAGCTTGTGTAATAGCCTGTCACACTGTGTGAACACAATGTTCCCAGGACTTCCAGCAGGAACAAACTATGGAGTATCACCATGATTTGTTTAAAGTTTGTTTATGGAGAAGATCACAGCAGAAGACCCCAGCACACTGCATTTGCTCAGCATGGTAAATGATAAAGATACTACCTACAGCAGATACCAAGCCACAGCACCCAGAGAAGAATGACTGAGCATGGGTGTTTAATAATAACAAACAAGCTTGGCTGTTGTGTCCATTTAATGTCATCTGAGTATGCAGGTAGTCCTAGGGGTCTTTGGAGAAAGATCCCAAAGAGCTGAAGGTAGTGCTCTTTACAAGGAGTCATTGAACTTATGGTACCTAGGATAAGTGAAAATATAAACTCAGGAAAGCAAACCTAGCCACACCCATATATTATACCCAAGAGATAATCAAGACTGAATTATTGTGATTTAGAATCCACCTGCATCCACCCTTTTTAAATGCAAATGTTAACGTGTTCAGGAATGATAAATTTCCTCTTGAAATAGCCATTTCAAACACATCTGCTCAGTCAATAGTTATACATGATCAGAATAACAGTTCTCAACATTGGATAGACCCTCAGTTTTTGAAGGTTCCCAGAATATACCAGTAGTTAACATGTGGAGACCAATTGCTGATTTTTCTTGAGTTCTGATTTTTCAGTGAATATATGGACAAAAGGTTCTAAAACCCAAATAATTCAGTTTAAATTCTTCCTATCTAAAATATACAGTATATACGCAGAAAGATTTTTTAAAAATTGTATCTCTCCTTCCTTGGAGTATTGCATCACTAACATACCCTTGTGGCTAATGCAAGACTTATTTTCATGGCATTTAGCTATGAAAAGATTGCCCAGCCTTGTCATATTTCATTTAAATATAAAATTGTTGGTTTTTCTTTGATTCTGTTAAATATCAACTTTTCCTATTGCAGGAACCTGTGTATGTGGAGAATGCATATGTCACGATGTTGACCCAACTGGAGATTGGGGCGATATTCATGGAGATACTTGTGAATGTGATGAACGCAACTGCAAGGCAGCCTATGATCGATATTCCGATGATTTCTGTTCAGGTAAAGGAAATAATTTAAGGACTTAATGTAATCTCAATGGAAGATTTAATATGCTTTACAGTGGAAACTCTAATAATACAGAGCTCAAATAATAGCATATATTGTTAAAATCCTATTTATGCCACAATTATAAACTTGTGTCCTGACTTCAGATACAAATACATAAATCATAGGATTGCATGATGACATGATCCCACATTCTGTCATTTCCTGCCTTTGTCCCTTTCATGTGGAGGAACAAAATGATCTCACTCCACAAGATTTCCAGAAAGTGATCTGGTGTCTGGATCTGTATTTTGCCATATGAATTCATATCCTCCTGAGTGGTCAGATTAGTACCTATAAAAGAGAATATTTGTTGCTCAGAATTGATGTGTGGTGTCCTTGATGCTCTCTGAGCTTGGTTGTTTTCTTGCAGGCCTTTCATTACCCAAATAAGTAACATCATCAGTTCTAGGTCTATGTTTATTATCTAGTCATGAATGAAACATCTGTAAGAAAACAACCAAGCTCAGAGAGTACCAAGGACCCAAAGTTAGTACCATTTAGCAGTTACAACTTCAATGCTGAACAGCTACCCAGAATCCCTTGTTTTTTAAGATGGGCAGCTATATTATTTTGAAAAATAAATAATATATGTAGGTACATTGTGGTGTTTAATACAAAATATAAAAGCATGGAGTCTAGTATCTTGCAACTTTTCCTCCTTTATGTCCAAAATAGTGGACAAACTTTTATTACCCACCTTTATTTTGTATAACTCAAGGTGGCAGATAAAATGGTCCCTTCTATTTTCCCCACAAGAACCCAATTGGATGGGATGAGCTGGGACAGAGCAACTGATCCAAAGTCACTCAGAGGGGGAAAAGATTAAGACTCAGAGGTACTCAGTTTCTAGTCCATCACAACTAGCTATACCATAATGGCTCTCTAAACATCCTTAACAACCCATATTCATTGCATTCATGCCAGCCAAATACCAATGGAGCAATTGAAGAATCAGAAGGAAGCAAGTAGATGAAATTATTTTGGCTTAGAACAAACTGAGCCAGTGCCTGTCAGATGAATTTTTTTTTATCAATTATGAAGAAGAAAACAAGGAGGAAATAAAGTCTGCAAAAATGTATTCAAATTAACCATCTGGAAATTATAATAAACCAGTCTATAAATCTAGGTGCTTGCCTAGAATTAAATGAAGAACTTGGGGTTAATTTAAAAATTTTATACTGAAAATCTGGAAACCCTATCGTTCAATTGTACCTGGTGGAGTTTCCATTGGAGATTCCTATACTCTCAATATTTCATTTCACTCCAAATTTTTGATTGTTGTCTTCTTCAGATCAGAATTAAATAGTAGATATAGAGATCCTACCAAAATCTCCAGCTGGGAAGAAATAAACCTCCTTCTAATAATTTCTCTCTCTCATAGATTCTAAGGATTAGAAAAAAATAAGAAATGGGGGCTATAATGCACTTTCCTGTACCCCAATTTCCTATGAAGAAAAGTTACGTAAATTTTTATCATTCTATACACAAGTTAGGAATGTGATAGAAGGTGATTCATTTGTTTCATTTTATTATTTTCTACTTCTACGTGCTTTTTTCCATCATGAAACTCAAGCAGAGTACATAAATTTCCCAAGGAGCTTTTAAGTGAATTTCTTAGTTTGAACTATACAAAACTGTGTCCTTCATTTGTTTCAGAATATCAGCCCTCTGCCAGTACAGCTAGCAGGATGGAGATAGTCTTCAAATAATTCTTTCACAAGAATTTGATGGAGTTCCATAAGAGATTAAGGACAAAAAAAAAAAAAAAAAGGGGGGGGGGGGGAATTCATCTGTATGCAGATGGATGCAATTTTTTATATATTAGAGGTCCGAATCAGGAGGTTCAAGGCTTGGGGTTTTTTTTTTACATTAACACGTTCTGTGGCGTATAAAAGTTTGAAAACTCCTCATCTAGGGGACACCAAATTGCTTATTTCTTACCTATCTTAGTTTTGGCTAGGTCTCTAAACTGTGTCAATTTTAGGGAAGGAAGTATACCAACCACCATTTTTTTTAAAAAAGGGGGGTCTTAAATCCCCATAGCTTAAATAGGAAGACAGAACCTTTCTCCTTGATTTGCTGGACTTTTAATACAAATGTATTATGGAGTTCCTGGTGCTCTCTGAGCTTGACTATTTGTAGGTCTTTCACTAAATGAAATCCCTGGATAATGAAAGATCTGCAAGCAAACAAACTCAGAAAACACCAAGAACTCCACAGTTCAACCCTGGGCTTCAGATATTGTCTTCTGTTGGATAGTGAGTTATCTCAGATCTTTGGTTTCATATATTGGAACTGTGATGGACTTCTGGTTGCTATCCTACTGCTGTATCAGTTTGCTATAAGATGAAAAAGATTTTAAAAATTTACATAAGTGCTAAATACAGGATGTTTGAGAAGTCGGGCTATGTGCAAAGATATGAGAATATATGTGTGTGCTCCCAAAGTCTCCTTGGTCCAGAAGAAAAAATATAAAAGGCCATTGAAAGAAGTTACAAGTATGAAACAATCCACAGAAACAGTAGCAAACAGGTAGGTAGTGTTAATTCCACTGACTCAAGAAACGTTTATGCAGAAGCTCAGAGATTTTAGACTACTGTATGGAGATAAAGGTGAAATATGTATGTTTGTTTTGCTGTTAAGGTCATGGCCAGTGTAACTGTGGACGATGTGACTGTAAGACTGGATGGACGGGGAAGAAGTGTGAACATCCAACTTCTTGCCCTATCTCCCCTGAAGAGAGCCTTAGGAAATGCCAAGGAGATTCACACCTTCCATGTTCTGGCAGAGGTAGGTTACTTGGATTTTCCAGGATAATCATAATGTACATGCCTCGTGAAACTAAACTGCTTCCACAAATGAACCTTTGTGGAAGCAATTTAGTTTCACCAAGCATGTACATTAGTTTACAGTCAAATATTTGTTTTAGATTAGAGCAGTTCCCCAGCACTGCTGGCTGCTTGCTTAATGTTATCTGGGAAACAAATGAAGCAGAACAATGAGGCTCAGATTTGCCTGATGAGCAATCCATCATGTAGACTTTGCCACCTGTTCAATTGCCTCCCTGGCCTGCTACTTTAAATGGCAAGGATCAGCAGGTGGCTTGGGACCTCAAAAGTTCTAATTCAGTAAACCTGATGCTCAAAAGTTCTTCATGATTGTTTCATGATTCAGTTCATCCTTCATGTTGCTGCATCATGTAACTTGTGAAAGTAATATTCCATTAGCACTCAGTAGGGAGTGAATATGCTTAGTTTGAAAGATATGAAGAATTCATCTTTCTCATTCATATTTTATAATAACAATGTACTATGTGTTATATCTGCAACAACTGTGTGCTGACCTGATGTTTTGCTTGTTATTGTGTTCGTGCTTTGGTAACAGATAGTTAGTGGTGCGGTCTTGCCCACTTAGGGATGGCAGAATATTTTAAGTAATAAATATTCTTATTCAGGAAACATCAGTCCCAAAGGTTGACAGCAAAATGTGAGGGAGTGGTGTGTTAACATATACTGGATAGTGAGCAACTTTGTCCTCTTCGCTATACGTGGCATTATAAAGACTCTTGGTGAACTGAACAATTGTTTAAGGGTAGAATTGAACCAATATTAGTTGTGCCGTGAAAAGCTACTTAGCTGACTAGGTTGCAGCTTCAACTGATTATTCGTAGTTTGAAAAAGTGTTAGCTGAACCGTGTCCCACATTTGTATAAAATAAAGCAATTAGCTAAAGAAAAAAAAATGTTTCACTTGATCATTCTAGTGTTACAGGTTAGAACAAAATGTTAAATGTGGAAATTTGCATATTTTATAGAGAAAAGCAGTGCAGGCATTTCTTACAGAAATTGTAGCGTTATAATTTCAACATTAAACTTTTAGAAAAGTGACACTGAGATTCGCAATCAAATCTTTAGGTTTCATTAAAAGCGAGGTCTTTATTGGAAGCAAGTAAATTCTACAGTGTAATTGAAGATAATTCTGGAATGCCCTTTGAAACTTCTGGAAAAAAAAAGAAATTATAGGTTTGTCTTCTGTATTTACCTACTGGTTTTCAAATATTGATCCTTGATTTGCTATTTAAAAAGGAGTGGGTTTTTTGGTCTTTCCACTAAAGAGAAAATACAATCTGAAGCATCTACAATGTATTAGTTATTACCATTGTTTGTTTTAACAATGATTATAGTACATGCAGATATTTTATTTACTTATTTTATAATATCTATAGCCTGTCCTAATCAATAAGGTCCATGAGCAATGGGGATATCTATTTGAAGAAAAGCCTCAAAGGTGCCCTATTACTAAATCAAACAATTGCCCATTGAAACAATACAGTTCTGGGTTGTTACAGAATACCAATTGGATAGGGACTCTTTGTAACTACAGAAAGAGAAAGGAGACTACTAATAGAAGACCTGTCACCATATACCTCTCAAGGAGGTTGTTTCCATAAACAGGTCTTTTTCTGCTGGCCAGGCCAGATCTTAAAATTCAGTTCTGGTAAGATGTTGTGTGATATATTTATTTGTTTGTTTGTTTGTTTGTTTGCTTGCTTGTCAAGCATGACTAACATAACAGATATAAGTATAAACATGATTATGAATACATGAAATGGATACGAATAAAGTAGGACAGGGACGGTAGGCACGTTGGTGTGCTTATGCGTGCCCTATACAGACCTCTTAGGAATGGGGTGAGATCAACAGTAGGCAGTCTAAGGTTAAAGTTATGGGGGTTTGGGGAAGTAACCACAGAGTCAGGTAATGCATTCCAGGCATTGACCACTCTGTTGCTGAAATCGTATTTTCTGCAATCAAGTTTGAAGCAGTTTACCTTAAGTTTGTATCTATTGTGTGTTCGTGTATTATTGCAGTTGAAGCTGAAGTAGTCATTGACAGGTAGGACATTGTAGCAGATAATTTTGTGTACTATGCTTAGGTCAAACGGAAGGTGGCGTAGTTCTAAGTTGTCTACGCCCAAAATATCAAGCCTGCATAAGGTATTCTGTTATGAGCAAGTCTTCAAAGGTAACCAGCTCTTTATGCTGGGACTGAAAGCTGACAATATTAGTAACCATTGCAGCAACTTCAGAATTTGGGCTATTCTAATTTGATGGGTTATCCTGCACATTTTGTATCAGCTGGATCCTAACTAAACAATCAAAGCACAAGCAGAATTTCTCCAAACCCTGCTATTCTATCATACATTCACTGTTCAGATTAAACAGATACGGGAGAATAGTCTTCCTTATCTCACTTCCTTTCAAATTCTGAACTATTGTTTTTCCAAACTCAGATTTTTCAGAAGCTGAAACATCTTTCAGAAGAATTACTTATTATCCCAGCACACTAATTCACCTTAATATATTTTATATTCTGGGTTGTTTGTGTGTATGTGTGTGTGTATGGCGGATATAAAAACCTAGATATTACCTCAGAATATAAAATATATTAAGGTGAACTAGTGTGCTGGGATAATAAGTAATTCTGAGACATTATAGAGAAAGCATTCTCTATTATCCATCTTACCTTAACTATTTGATCTAGTCTACCTTTCACGTTTCTGAATCTTATCTGTCCTTTTAGCATTTCTGTTTCTACATTTGGCTTACACATGAAATTTATGCCCTGGTTTAATATTTGCATATTCTGTTGTAGCTCTTTCTTCCATACAGCTTTCATTTTTCTTTTTTTTGTTATTTCTGTCACTTGTTGACATCATTGAGATATTTTACTTGTTTGACATTGAAACCTATGCTCTAGGTGACAAGTTACCATAGTTTAATTTTGAGTCCATTGTAAGTAATTTCCTTAATCAGCCAGCAGAATATTCACCTATTGGCTGTTTTCCAGATACTGAGGCATTCTCATCTGATGCTTGTTCCACTCACTTTTTAATAACAAAAGGTCACATTTACTTTTAAAATCCACAGAGTTATTACCATTCTTATCAAATCAAGAAATGCACTCATCTCATGGGACTTGGTTGGTTTGCAACCAAATGGTTACAGGTAGAATGATTTCATGTGCCTGTATCTACATTTACAGATCAAGATGATATAACTCAATTTTTTTCATAACTCAGTATGAACTAAGAATATCAAGCTTTCTCTCCACAAATTATTAAGAAGTTAAGGATATTTGAAAAGAGGCATGCAACATTATTAAATTATAGGCAAATGAACTAGTAATTATGAATTAATCCTAGCAGGTAGATTATTGACTTTTTACTATAGTATCCAATGATAAACATAATTAGTAATTTTTGTTTTATTTATTGATGCAGGGGTACATTTCACTAAAAAAGGTACTATATGTAAATCTCATGTAATAAAATAACCCATATACATATGTGAAATGACAAATTTGTTCTATTTAAGTATAATGATAATATACTATAATAATGGAAAATTAGTAGATTAACAGCATTATTCATAAGGAATAATAAATATAAAATTTAGGGTGATAACTATGAATTACTTCTGCAACAAAATAACTAAAGTTAGAATCAAAAGTATGTGTTGTTGAAAATCAATGAAATCTTTATTATAGTTGTAGACCAGCATAAATGTTATGATGAGTTGCAATTATGGCATATACAGTGATGGGGAATTTTCAGACAGTAAGAGTCAAAGGGAATGAAAATATACACAGAAATTATTTCTTTATAAAGAGTCAGCATTCACAATTTTCTCTACATGCAAGATAGTAATGTTGAATCTTTGATAATCAGTAGTTCAGAAGCAGTCTTTCTTTGAATGGACACTTTAAACTCAAGTAACTTGAGAGACTGAAATATTCTCACATTGTTTTGTGAATATTACCATTTTTGTTGTTAGATTTGGATTAAAATTAAGGAAAATTGCTAACCAATCATGCACTTGTACAGTGCAAAAAAACAGTTTATGTGATGAATTTAATACACATTGACCGTTTTTAGACGCTGGGAGAGATGGTGGTATTGATTTTCTTATGTGCTACCTTGTCTCTCCAAGGAACCTAGGCAGAATACAGAATTGATTTTAGCAAAAATGCAAAGATTTATTTGATCTGAAGAGTAACCAGAACCATGTTTCCTGAGCAGTCTATTGTAACATTTATGAATTAAACATCAGGAATGGTCAAGAGGAGCTTTTCTGACTAACAAAATGTTATTAAAGGGCACATCTTTTGTGAGCTGCAACTTTGCAACTAACCCAGATATTTTCTTTGCTCCCTCCTCTTTACCGTCACATATAAATTCCGAAGCTCCTTCACATGGTTTTTCTCTAATACTGTATGATATATGCCATCATCTAACAGCAAAGTCTTTCTGGATTCCATGTGAAACAAATGAAACAACTGTGCAAAAGAATGAATGAAGATGAGTTTGACATCAAGATTCAAAACAAGGACAAATTAATGTCAGACCATTTCAACCTCCCAGGACACTCTATTGTAAATCTCAAAGTGAGCATTTTGGAACAATGAGTTTAATAGCATCACTGAGTGAAATAATTTACATCAAAAGATTTCAGGCTATCACAAAAGGTCTCAACAAACACAATAGGTTTTTATTACATTTCAGTGATCATTTGATATAGTCCTTGTAATCTATTTTACATGTAAACTGATATCTCCTGTTCATTTTTCAGGTGCTCCATTTGGGCCCATTTCTGTAGCAACTTACATGGTATTTTTTATATGATAGAATGAATATTGTATTGAATAAAACAAGGTGGCTTTGTCTATGAACTCTCAAAAATTTAAAATTGGGATGATTTTATTACTGTATTGTGCACCACAGATACTAAGA